GAGAAACAAGCCTCCCGGCCAGTCCCCAGGGGCTCCTGGGAAGGCCAGTTCTCCAACCCTACCCGCTCCTTTGCCAGTTTGAACCACATGCAAAGCCTGGCTGGAAGTCATGGATTGCTCCTGACTCCGTCCCTTGAGCTCTCCAATGTCCTAAATGAGCAGGGGACTGCGGCCCTAAAAGAGCAGAAGTCAGAAGGGAGGCTCAGACTCCAGGGGCTTCACGGAGAGCCCCAGGTCAAGTCTCCAGGCCCCGCTGGGAACAGGCCTAGAGGCAGGGCACACAGTGACTGCTAACCGCTGACTATGCTAGTTATTTTCCTTAGACTCCTGTAAGGCTCGCAGGGTAGGGACAATGGCTGAAAACCCAGGTTCCTCCAGACAGACTGCCTGGGTCTCCTGCTGTGTGACAGTGGGCCAGTCGCTTTGCCTCTCTGTGCCTCCGTTCCCTCATTACAGATAGTACTGCTTGCCATGGACCAGGAAGCGTGCTCAATACTCTTGTTTGCACTGTCTTCGGTTCCTCGGCGCTACTGCGAGAAAACCGAAGCCCAGGGAGGTGCCCAGAGGCCCACAGTTAGGGTCAGACTGCAGAGCGGGTGCTGGGCGCCCCCGTGCTCGGTGCCTCCCGCCTGGGGCGCGCGGGGTGAGCAGCCAGGCGCCTGAGCCGAGCGCGCACTCGGCAGCTCCCCCGCTCGAGAGGAGAGGCGAGGGCGGGTAGGGGCGCGGGCGCTACCTGGGGCGCGACGTTGCTCAGGTAGAAGGTGTCGTCCATGGCCTTCTGGCTCCAGCGGTGGTTGGCGGCGGCGGCGAGGTGGCCGCGGTCGAAGCCGCTGCCGCGGTAGTCGGCGTTGGTGGCGCGGTGGTACGCGTGCACCGAGTCGTCCTCGCGGAAGTCGCACGAGCGGCGGTCGCCGTCGCCGCAGAGCCGCTCGGGCCGCAGCTGCTCGACCACCCAGAGCGCGCAGCGGGTGCGCGGGTCGTAGCACAGCACGTACGACTCGCGGCTCTTGAGCTGCGCCAGCCCCGGCAGCCCGTACTTGGCCAGCTCGCCGGGGCCGCCGCCCGCCGGGGTCCCGGGCTTGGCGGGCACCGCGGGCAGCTCGGCCGCCGCCGCCACGGGCAGCACGGGCAGCCGGCCCAGGAGCCCCGGCGCCGCCCTCGCGTCCGCCCGCCGCCGCCACCGCCAGCCCTCGGCCGCCGCGCCCAGCCCCGCGCCCAGCGCCAGGGTCAGGCCGGCCCGCAGCGCCCGCATGGCGGGGAGCGCGGCCCGCGGCGCACGGGGCACCCCG